AAGAGAATATAATAAAAACATGTTGAAATTGCTACACAAAAGCTTTCATATTTCAATAATTTGATTGTACTTCTTCAGGTGATGATAAGTAACTGGTGATTAAAAACAAAATGTTACTTCTTTTCCAAAAGTTAAAGGTGGTCTGAATTAAAAATAGATTTGTGGGTATGTCTAGATTAACCAATTAAATGTCAGATCTAAACTAAATAGAAAAGTAAGCTCAGAGAGGGGGAGGTGAATGAGTTATTTTTTCATGCCATGATAAACTGGAACATAGACAGGACATCATTGACATATTTTCTGCAATTGTCAATGTACTTCATCTGCTCTGTGTGTAGGGGGGTTATGTTGGCAACATTTTTTTTGTTAATTGTCTATATTTCTGAGATGCGATATCATGTACACTATTTACATTGCTCGGACTATCATCCTCATCTTTATTTATTACAACATTTCGGCCGTACACTCCGGCCATCTTTTCCGGTTGAAATGTTGAACTGAACCCTTTACTTTGCTTGCTGGGGTAGACTGTTTTAGTTGTCATGTCTAATGGGTGTCAGTTATCTGATTAATTCCCCTCTCCAAATTCTCCACCACCTTAACCAGGTATTGAACTCACACACTTCGGGTCCTGTCACTGGATCTAACTTTATTCTTTATCCACTGTGCCTTGTGGACATCTGGGTATGAATTTCTGGGTATTATAAACCTGATGTCTTCAGCAATCATTTTTTTAAGGTGCTCACATTGCAGTTTTTGCTATTATCATACATGTTTTTACCAGAGCTCATATTGCAATTTTTTCATTGTTATTATTGCTTTTCTCTGGCACTCCTTATTACTGGTTCCCATATTGTATTCATTTCTATGCTTGGCCGGCTCAGTAGATTTTTGTGGCTTAGCATATGTGCTGATTCCTTAAGTTTACAAATTTTTCAATGATGTTCTATATCTATGATTTCAACTGATCCCACAGAAGGCAGTGATCTCCCTTTTCCCTCCATATGTGGTCAGCCACACCTGATTTTTCCACTTCCTCTCATATTACAGCTTTTTGGTGTTCTTGAAGCCTTACCTTAAGGAGGTGGTCTGTCTCCCCTTTATATTTCTTTTTGCAGCTGTACAGGATGGAGTACACACAGTCTTTAGTCTTGTTCTCCTCTATGGGGGTGGGGGGTCTTACTCGGGAGAGGTATCTGTGAAGTGTCGTCCAGCTTTTGAAGGTTGTCCTGATGTTATATGGACCGCAGATCCTTTGTATTTTCTCCGATAATCCCTTCACATAAGGCAGGCAGACTGTTTTCTAAGTGTTATTGCCCTCCTCCTCCTCTTGTACCCGCCTATCCCAGTTTTTTGGGGCTGCTGCCATGTACCCAGGGTAGTTGTTACATTGTAGGGTACTGCTTATACTGACCAATTCTTTATTTAATGTCTCTGGATCACCATGACTTATGACTTTTGCTCAGTGTTGTATGCAGTGGACAATCCCTTTCTTTACGCTGTATGGGTGGTGGGAGTTGAAATTGAGGTACTGTCCGGTGAATGTTGGTTTGCAGTATACAGATATCTTGAACCCATGCTCTGTTCGAGATATTAGAACATCCAGTTTTTTGTTAATGATCGTCACAGCAACATCTTCATCCATGGATTACTTACCAGGTGTTTCATGCTCAGTAAAGATATTATTCAAAATGTCAAAAATTCCTGCATTTCTATATTTTTTACAAGAAGTGATCATGTTTTTTGTACATGGACAGAAAGTACAAGACATCATTTTTACATGAAATCTTAATTTCACCACTTAAAAAATCAGTGTGAGCATTACATGACTAGCATCATTACCTGTATGTGTATGGATACAAAATTTATTAAATTTTATATAGAACAACTTTTAGAGTATATGTTATTTATATAAAACTGCCTTCATGGTATCTCTCTCTCTATATATATATATATATATTATTTATTTAAAAATATGATTCCAAAACGCTACATAAGAAGTCTCATGTTTCAAAACAAGAGCCGAAAACTTCAATATAATTATTTAAATTAAATTGAGTTAAAATAAGCTCTGTTCCATCTTCAAGCAAAATTTTTTTTGGAATAACGTATATCTGAAATTTACATGTTTTAAAAATTGAAATAAAATTTTCCATGGTAACAGCTAGGGCGAATTGTTTAAATTGGGTAGGCGAGTGTTGGGTGTTAATAATAAGTTACTTTCGTAGATGTCAAGTCTGGGAAAGGTGGGGGTGTCTAAATTTGAAACGGAAGATGTATTAACCCTCGTCTAGTTTGCATGTCTATGTAGATTTATTTATTTTTTTTATTTTATTTTTTTATGAAAGGGATTTGTGCATATAAAAAACTGTCATAACGTTTGTTTTTTGACGACTTCATATTATTTTCACACACACACACACACACACACACACACACACACACATATATATATATATATATATATATATATATATATAAGCTGTGTTATGAAATGTAAAGGGATATCATCTTTATGCTTGGGTTCCATTCCCAAGCTTCCCCATTTTATAGATGTTATACACAAATTAAATAGCCTGCATTCCGAAATCTGAAAAAATCTGAAAACTGAAACACTTCCGGTCCCAAGAATTTTGGATAAAGGATTCTCAACTTGTGATAAAAAATAATGTCGGATAAAAAAATCCTTTAAAAAATTCCTTAAAAAATATGATGCTATACATGGTATGGAATGCCAAGATATAGAAATATAATGACATGCTATATGTCCAGGGCCAGATTTAGGCCTTAAGGGGACACTGGACTAATAGAATTTGGGGGCCCATTCATTACGTCTGTTCATCTCCACCACATATCTATAAAAAAAAAAGTGATATTTTTATATAATGATTTTTTATTTTGTGTAAAATTTGAAACCCTTTTGAATAAAGTTTTTAATGATTTTGGTGCTCAACTAATTTATTTCATTGCCTTCCTTAACACATTGTAATGAACGTTAAAGACTTTTTATCACATTAAGAAATCAAATACGCAGATAAAGTCTGTAAAACAATATTAATTTTAAACTAAATTAACTTTTTTTTTGATTTGTTTGCTCTTTTCTACTTTTGAGTTGAGAAAAAGATCTTTGAACAGAACAGTTGGTGAGCATCAGTTACAGTTTTAAAACAGATTCAACATTAGAAATTTGTCATTAATATCATTGGATATAAATCTTGAGGCAGAAATGTGTTTTTATCAGGAAATGTTTGTTTCACATACGTATCAAAATATTTCACTTTTATTAGGAATGAATCCTTCACATCTTCAGAATAAGCTTTGATGATTGTCAACTTCCTTGTAACAAACCATCTTCAGAAAAAGCTTTAGCAATATAAATGTCTGATTTTGCTTACTTGTTCGAATTGTTTGTTTATATTTCTGAGGTATTGTAACTATTTACACTATTTACATTATTTGGCCTGTTGTCATATTCATGACATTTCGACTGTTGTATGCTCCGGCGTTCTTCAGGTGATATTTATTGGAATTTCAAACCGAACTTTTTATTTCATCTACCAGGGTTGATTGTTCTAGTTCCACATGCCATGCCTTTTCTGGATATCTCAGTTTGAGTTATTTCCCTTTAGTAATTCAACTCTCCAAGTTTTTGTTCACCTCTGATGTAGCCAGGTATTGAACTCACAACTCTTTGGGTCAATTCGCTGGTTTAATTCAACAAATACTTTTATTCACTGAACACATGGCCCAGTTTATGAAGCATTTGGTTGAAGTAATCCAATAATTCCAGAGATGAGGACAACAGTCCAAACAATGTAAATAGTTTAAATTGTCCAAATGCTTTTGAGATCAAATCTCATCTATGCTGATGATACAAACATTTACTCCAGTCTTGATAGTAAGTCTGATCAATTTGATAAGGTCAAATTGGTAGCTGATATCAAAAGCGACCTTCAGTTAATTGTTGACTCGGGTAAAGGATGGCTTGAGAGACCCGTTTCTGCCTTCTATCAGGTTGACTGATGCTAACCTCCAAAAGAATGACTCATTGCCCCTACTCAGGTTAACATTCTTGACCAACATGAAGTGGAAAGACTATATTGCATCCGTTACGAGGTCAGCTGCTAAGAAAGTTGGATCACTGTGTTGTGCTAAACAGTTTTTCTCTCCGGAATCTATCTTACATATCTATAAGTCTACCAATTGTCCATGCTTAGAATGTTGCTGTTACATATGGTCTGATGCTCCTAGTATATATCTAGAGATCCTTGATAAAATCCAAAGAAAAATCAGCAATATTATTAGTCTTAATCTGGCATCTCAGCTTCAGTTACATTCCCACCAATGTAAAGTTGCTTCCCTGAGCCTTTTTTTATAAATGCATTCACAATAGTTGTTCTGATGAACTCTTCATCATGGTACCTAGACTTTATGAATTTAAGTACAGTAATAGACTGGTAGCAAGGTCTCACCAATTTACAATTGAGTTGGTTAGATGTAAGACTAAGTTCTATGCTAAAAGTTTCTTTTCTCGCACTTCTCACTTGTGAAACTCCCTTCCGGCTCTATGCGTTCCTGTTAATTTTAATCTTCGAAATTTAAATGCAATGCCAATCGCTATCTGTTGTCCTCCTGATTACTCTTCTTTTGTTCTTACTCTTTAGTAATAATTCTGTTTTTTAATTCTTCTGCACCCAGTAACCTCTTGTATTTTAGTGGCTTTACTACATTGGTTGCGGTGATCTCGATAAAAAAAAAAAACATAATTGGATCAAAAGTTTTGTACTTTGAACTGAATTTTTAAAAAAATTCCAACTGGAGGGGCTCCAAATATTGTAAATTGTTTCAAAACAAAATCTACTGTTCTGATATTTGTATTTGTTTTAGTGTTATCTATTTACTCAGGGCCTCTGGATTGCAGTCCATACGAGGCTCATGTGTAAATCCATCACTGTAAATATATCAAAGAAATTTCTATTAGAAATAACAAAAGTACTTACTGAGCAAATGCAAATTTGTCAGTTAATTCATTGTCAAATATGTGGGGACAAATAGAAGTAAAGTCTTCTCTTTCAATGTAGAATAATTCTGATGGCTCTCGACAAATGACCGTGGCTGTCCTATGGCCATCTCCCAGTAAGGCCACTTCCTGATAAGAAAAAAAAAGGATTAAAAACATTTGAATAATGCTTCTCAAAATCAATCCTTTTCACAATTATATATCACTTCAGACAAATTAAGAATACAACTTCATTTCACAAGAAATTAAGTAAAGACTCTATTTTTTTTTTAGAAAGTATTTGAACATGGACAGTGAACAACTGTTGGAAGTTGTAATAAATGAGGCAAAGATGGGGAAACTGATCTGAATGAATTGAAATTTAATAGTAAAAATACATTCTACTAGAAATTGAAACAAAACGAATACAAAAGAGTGCAGCAGCTGAAATATCGTGATAAAAACAACAAAGATGGGGAAACTGGTCTGAATGAATTGATGTATAATATTATCAACACATTGTGTTATACATTCAAACAGAAAGAAGGCTGAAGAGTATATGTTGTAGAGTAGTTTTCACAGTGGAGGCTTGTATTTCACTGAGTCGGTCCTAAAAAGGTTCAACGTAAAAAACGTTAGGAACTTGAAATAATAGTTAATGACGCAGCAATCTAGTTGTGGTGGTTGATACTTTAATGTCCGACATCGACTGACTCACCAACTCACTGAGCTCACTGGCGACTGCTACTACTACTACTTATTATATGTGGGAGAGTCTATTAACAATAGAATAGGTGTGTTTCAGTATAACAGTATATCAGTCAAAATATTGTGATAAAAACTACAAAGATAAGGAAACTGGTTCAGGTGAATTAAGGGATGTTGTTTCATGTTATTTGCTTGAGAATCTTTTTAGATTATCATACAGCACCAGGTTTTTAACCCCACCATACTCATAACAGGTTTTAAATTTATGATATAGCACCTTTAAGTTTAATCAGGCCATTGATAGTGCAGCAGTGAAAGATGAGGCAAGAATAAGGATTTAAAGAAAATGTGTGAAAGGTTTTCAGGGCAGATTAACTTTTTTTTTTTAAACACTTACGCCAAAGTGTTGTCCACTGCGTATAATATTCTCCAGGTCTGTCTGTTTCCGTCCTGATTTCCTACTAGTCTCTTTCTGTACATAGAGAGATCCTGAATACACGAGGAAGAATCCAAGACCAATGTGGCTCTGGCGTAGAACAATACGTCCTCTCTCACAACTGCAAATACCCCAAGAAAGAGACAAAACTTGTAATGAAAATTAAAAGTCAATATAAAAATGAAACAGGAATCAGATCTAGTCAAATTGTTATGACCTGGGATATTTCTTGTAGATAAAAAAAAATAATGGGTTCGCCTACTTCGTGGGGTTTGATAGAAACAGGAGAAAATATAAATGATAGAATACCCTAACTGAATCCTTTTGGCCAAATGGTTGGTTACGACACAGGTAAGTTTTCTTATTTTATTTTGTTTATTCTGTACATGATTTGAATTATTTAAGCATATTTATTTTTTTAAATTTTAAATTTTTTGCACGTACATCTTGCCATATTTCTTGTATATTGACTTTTTCACAACAAAAAAAAGTTTAAATAATATTAATTCCCTGTTAGAGATGTACTAAGGTTTGGTGATGCCCAGGACCAACTCCTTGATTGTATGCCCCTAAGACTCAAGTAGGAGTAGGGGGGGTCTATAGTGCCTAGTACTGAGAAATGTGAGAAAGGAAGACATTTTAAATATGTAAAAACAGATGAAACATGAAATAAACACTTTCTTGAAATTAAATATAAACTAAATTTTTATTCCACTCTTTAATTGGCTGCCCCCTCCCCAATATGGATGCCTGGGGTTGTTGCACCCTCTGCTTCCCCTCTTCTTTACTCTACTGTTGCCTGGTTGATTTTATTTTGATAGAGGATACTTGAACTTGATACTAGGTTAAAACTTAATAGATAATACCATACTACCATTCCTATAATTAACTCCATCCTAATGCATATATTCTGAGTTAATCTCCGTAATATTATATTTGATATTTATTTCCTTTGACGTGCTTGGGATTAGGTTTCCACTTTGTTCTGGGGTCTGCTTCCACACTGTTCTTCTAGCATCTCTGACTGAACCCTGAAATGTTATTCACTAATTAATTATTTATTTTCTGTTTAGGATTGGGTTTCTGGTTCCTTCTAAAGTCAGTTTCAGCTCTGTACTCCTAACGTCTGTTCTTGAACTCTGATATTTTGTTCACTAATTATTTATTTTATTTTTTCTTTTCTTTTCTCACCTCCACCAATAAGATTAGGTAAGTTCACCTATCGTCCGGTTCACACTTCTCCCCTGTGTTTTGAACAGGAGTAGAAGTTTATATCTTAATTTCTGTTTAGGATTGGATTTCTGGTTCATTCTAAAATTTGCTTCAGCTCCATACTCCTAACGCTTATCGTTTCTAATCCAACTCCACACAGTAACCCTCTACCTTGTGTGGTTCTTGGGCCTTGCATTAGGTGAACATTAATAAAAAAAATTATAATTCCGAGCCATTATGTAAGCTTACAACACCTGGTATTTCCAAGCGGACGATCCATCTCGGTATTGACCAGGCTCAACATTGCTTAACTTCAGTAATCATAGTGTTTCAAGATGGTGTGGCCATAAGCTAGAAGATGTCAGTGAGAAGAAAGGACAACAAAAGAACAACGTTCAGGAAGACAGAAGATGGCGATTGATATTGCATTTAAACTTTTGAATATTGAAGATGACAGAGAAGTAAGAAACCGGAAGAGAGTTGCACAGGTGAGAAGTACAAGAAAAGAAACTATTAGAATAGAACTTCCGGTTACATTTAGCTATTAGAACAATAAAATCATGAGACTTAATTTAGTAGCACGCTTAATTTCACACGATCGAGGTACTGAGTAGGAAAGCTCATTAGAACAATTGCCCTGAAAATATTTGTAATTAAAGAAAAGACAGAAGCCACGTCATGGCGAAGAGAAAGTAAGTGAAATTGAACTACCAGGTCAGGACTGATAATATTAAAGACCTTTCTTAGGATTTTTTCAAGAATATTGTGATATATAGCAGAAGCACCTGACTAGAGGGAGCAGCGATATTCAATGTATGGACAAAGGGTAGATTTATAAATATGCAGGTTGGTTTCTAGTGAGAAAAAATTCTATATAATCATTCTACTTCATGTCAGTGGGAAATTTTGAAACCAAGAACAAGTCACTCTCGTGGAGGTTAGCATCAGTAAAAAGAAATAATTGTGTCTTTAGTTGGGAACTGATGACACTAGGAAGTTCATTGAGAAAATCAGAAACAAAGTAGGTCCAAAGTTAGAGTTGAGAGGTGGGGTATTAATGTGAAAGGATCTAGAATAGTGGCCGTTCAATACGACCTTCCTTCATTACGATTTGTTAAAGATTGGATCAAATAAAAAATTTAATTGGAGACACCATAGCTCTTCAGCTTGTGAAAAAAGCCAACATGCCAAACCCTGTCAAGGGCCTTCGAGATATATATAGCCACTACCTGCGCTTCGCCGTTCTTATCTATAGCTTAACAGACTCTTACAGTAATTACCAGCGATTGACCTAGAGAAGCGAAAACCATATTATTTGTCTGAAGAAGGCCGTACGAAGTGAGATGCTTAATCAATTCAAAGTTGATTGGAGCCTGTAGTACTTTGTCAAGAGGCGGCAAAAGACTAATATAATATATAATACATAATATAATAATATATAATATAATAATATATAATACATAATATATATAATAATATAATATATATATAAGATATATAATATATAATATATAAGACTACAATTCGAGTACTCGGGAGGTTTGCCAGTGTTCTTAAACATTCGCAACAAACTGAAAACAAAAAGCAGCAAGGCATTTGTTGTAGTATTTAGAGAGAACAGGAGCCAGTTCAAGGGAACATTTCCATTGCTGCAGGGATATCATTAATCCCACATGCCTTGGGGGTACCTAATTTGGAGATGATATCAGAAACCCCAGACGGAGTTATATGCATACCACAAGGTAGAGATTCCGTTCTACATGGTAAGTCAGGCAAAGATACACCTGATGTATCGAGAGTGGATTTAGAAGAGAATTTACGAGCAAAGAATTCTGCAGTAGGTGACAACACTTCAAACTGATTGAATAGATTGAGGATTTACTATTGTACACACCGAGCCGCCAGTAATCACGAGAAGCAAACTTGGGGTATACGGTCTCATTCTATAACCGAACAGCAACTTGGCCTCATTGAAGTCACGATTGAAATCATTACTGGCGGATACAAAGAGACATATATTATGATCCAAGCTATCACGTTGGTATAGCGAGAAGAAGGGATTCTTGTGGCCTATAGCGGTTGAACAGGCAGGAGTGAACCAAGAAGAAGATGGTATTTTCAACTGATATTTCCACGATGGCATCCAAATGTCGATGCCAGCTTTTGCACAAGATGGTTGTTGATATATGAACTTATCTGCTCAAGAGTACAGTTCGTTAGTGAAACTGTCCGTTACGTAGACAATTGAAATACATATTAAAAAAAGACACTGAAACTCCGTCTAAACGCATATAAAAACGGAAAATATACAAATTAAATAATAAATATATACGGAAATAAAAAAAAAACAAATAAATGATTTCAACACAGGTTATTGTCCTCATTTTTGTTGTTGTTAACACAATATTTCGGCCGTTGTGCTCTCCGGCCTACATCACGTGTAATCTACATGGAATTCCGAACAGAACACTTTATTAAATCTACGGGGGTAGATTGTTCTCGTTCCATTGACCATGTCTTATTTTTAGTGCTGCTCAGTTATTACTCCCAAAGTACCCAGACCAGAAATTGAACTCACAATTATTGTGTCACCAAATTCATGAACCAACACTAAGCCACTAGGTTATTGTCCCATGGGACAATTCTCTGTGGAGAACTTGGAGCCTTAAACTTCACCTGCTTGCTGATGAGTGCTGTTGTTGCTTATAATTTTGAGTTCAATCCCTGGGCGCGTAGTATGTAATTGCACTGAGAATGCGCAATAATTGAGCAGTACTAAAAATAAGAACTAGACGAGATGTTCCTAGACATGGGCAGTGGAACGAGAACAGTCTAGTCCCGTAGATTAAATAAAGGATGCAATTCCCTATAGGTTAGACAAATCGATATATACCTGATGAAGGCCGGAGGACACAACGGTCGAAAAGTTGTGATAACAACAAGAAAGATGAGAACAATAGCCAGCGTGTAAATAATGATAATTCATCAGCCAAGAAATTCAGACAGAAAATAAATATATCCAGAGATAAACACGAAAATTTTGTATTGTAGTTTCACTTTTAGGAACCTGATTTCCTAAGGTCATCAAACAAATGTTTAGAACTTGGCATAAATTATCGATTCACCTAGACTATAACCGGGAAATGCTTTTTCTTTAATCCACACCAAAATTTCCTTTTGCAGCTCTTCAATGAAACAGTAACATGATTTACCAAATATGGTTCTTCCCTGGAGGATCTAAAAAAGGCAAAATAAAAAAAGAAGAAACACAAAAAAACAAACAAACATCAAAAGCAAAGAACAAGGAAAACTGACTGACAAGGTCATCCGTCAAGACGCTAGAGGTATCGGTTAATTATATATTAGGAAGCACAAGGTGTTACTGTAGGTTTTTCCTCGGTTTCCATCTGACTCGGAATAATTACGTTTCAGCTATTTTCCAGTATGAAGGGCGCTTTGCCTGACACCATTGCAGTTTTCTGCCACAAATCTGGTTCGTTCGTGTCTGACTACATCCAACATCTTGTTGCCGATGTTTTCTCCATAATCCTGGCGAAGTTGGTATGCCTTTCCAAAGGCCAACCCTTAATTTTGTTCCCAGGGCCACATACAGTTTTGAATTCAGAGTTTTCCTTCTAGATTGATTGCCAACCACAACTAGAGAACCGATCCTACCCTGCTATTTAACCCATAGCTGAAGGGAGAAGAGATTAATTCATACCTTTCCCAAAGGTATTTGAGCGTTAGTAAATATATTGAACTCGACGGGAATTCGATCTCGGCTCTCCGATTTCACATTCCGTATCACTAACCATTATACCACCAAGCGATCAAAAAGCAAACAATTATAAAAGTAAAAACCAAAGAACAAAAACAAAACTAAAACAATAAAAAAAAAAAATCCTACTTGGTGTATCTGAAAACTCGACAAACAAGTTTCCTCATAGGAAATTCAAACTTTTCACGATATGAACGAACTGTCATCATCAGTTCATTTAGCATGTGCAGTTCTTTATCTGTTCGGGTATGAGGTTTCTTTATGGCAACAGCTTGAGCCCAGGGAGGCACCTGCGACTGAAAGAAAATACAACGCTTAGAAAAATTGGCCTTTTGTCTATCATTTAAAAGCAAAATAAAGTTTAATAAAATATGAAAACTACAAATGAATTTTGTCATACTTAATTATTCGAGTCATTGAAACTAATAAGAAATTCCATGGTGACATCTTTGCATTTATCAAATAAAATTAAGAAATCATTGAAACTTTTTGAACTCATAATGTTGTGGAAGAAACACGAGACTGAATCAATAAGTCTGTAGCCTAATACATACACATATAAAACATATTCCATTTGCAGAAGAATTGGAATTAAAAAGATAGCGGTAAATGGATTAACTAAAAAGATTATTGGATTAAAGACTGTAAATAAAGTTCTAAGATTAAAGATTGGCAGCCAAATGAATTTGAATGATTGAAACTAATAAGAAATTCCATGGTGACATTTTTGCATTTTACAAATAAAATTTTTAAAAATCTTTGAAAATTTTTGAACTCATAATGTTGTGGAAAGAAGCATGAACCTGAATCAATATCTATAACCT